CCCTAATGAGGATTAAGCGGTGTATAGAAATGGATGTTCATAAGAGGTAATACTCTACTTGGCAACCTAGAGAAAAAAAAAGGCATACTCACATATAGACCTTAAATCACTTTCCAGTGTACGCACCTTTCATGACTGGTCCTCCTCAGGTTAACATTAATTGCACAGAACAGTGAAGCTTTCACATAGTGCTGACTGTCAGTCACCAAGATCCAGTGTTGCTGGGCGGCACATCAGAAGGAGATTCTTCATGTCTAAGACGCCAGAAGGGGAGAACGTTCTTTAGAAACATATGGAGATACGTGTAAAAAGGGAAGAGTACATTTATTCGTGTGTGCCTCCAGTAGCACGCACTCAACACGACACAATGACGTGAACTGAAACGACAGCTTTGTCCTGCTGTCAGTCGGGACATCAGTTTGAGGAACATGTCATTAAAAGTTATTAGTGTCAGAGAACAGGTGCAGCAAATAACAAAGAACGGTTGTCAAATGATTTAAAGTCTGATTCATACGCTATAAAGGAATCTCTCTCTCTGTTGTGAGCTCTTGATTCTAAAAGTTAATGTGACCCACATCTGAGAAAATGTCGTCAGTGAAATGTCTCCTACATTCAGAAGAACACACAGTGGGAATAGCGCCTTGTTTTTATTGTGTTGACCTTGACTTTGGAGACGTGTGTGAGTAAATGACTGCTTTCACATTATAGCGAAAAGAAAAAACTTTGATTAAAATGTTTTAATTAGCATGTATTAACTTTGTTAGTGTCAACGTGCCAGCTAAGATCCTTAAACAGGAGATAAACAGGAGACGTGAGAAAAACCTTGAAAGTGAAACAAGCTAGAGAGAGATAAAGATGTCAGTTGGGTCAGGATTGTTTTGTTTGTTTTTTTGTTTTAATTGTATGAGAGAAATAAGCTATATAAATAAATAAAAAAGAGTTTTTATTGCAATTAATTTAATAATCGTTCACATTCTAGCATATATAGTGCCTATGAAAAATATCCACTCCCTGAGAATTGTTGCAAAACTGAATCATGGTCTATTTAATTTGGCTTTTTGACAAGAATTTACCTTTCCATGTCAAAGTGAAAGCAGATTTCTACAAAGTAACATCAGTTAATTAAAAGTATGAAATGCAACAAGAAAGACAGAACAGTGCATTCAAAGGGGACCTGTTGCTCTCATTTCCAGATCTTTGAGCCCCTGTCTCATGAAGACCACCTCCTCTTTCTTCTGATTGGTTCTCGGTCAACAATTAGTTCATGTTTGTGAGCTGTGACCTGCTGCCTGTATTTCGTGGGCGTCATTCACTTCATGGATGTGTTCTTTTTGTTCTGTTCAAGGATTTGTTCTTGTCATCATTTAGTCATTCATTTTAAAACTAATTTGCCAGCAAGTTGCT